TGTCTTGTCCGCGTTTTGCTGTAGTGAGCAGCCCACAACAACTTGTGATTGGGATCGTTTCGAAGCAGCTTTTTGACAAAAACGCAGCGCCACCGGCATCGGCCCTGCGTAGTATAAAGGTGGGGAAGACCGATATTCCCCCGTTGTAACAAATCATTGCCCGCTACATTGCGTAAGTCTCTGTTAGATTGTGCATACAGCTGCTTTCGAGGCTTACTCTTATCAGCAGCCCAGTACAGACTTGTTAAAAAATATGCCACAAAGTTTTTAATTACCCCAGGGTCTTTTCCTCAAGAGGAGGGGAACCTGAATCAAAGCCCGTTGTTTCCAGCGAAAACTGAAGGCCGAACGAGATGCAAGAACACCTCAAACAGAATGCATACATGTACATGAAAGCCATGATACCGATGTTTAGTTGAGCAATGTAATTTACAATCAAATGCTTTCATGTCTACTTTCGTTAAGTATATATACAGGAGCATTTCTTGGTGTCCAGTTCACAGCAACCTTTACAACGCCATGCCGTTGCCAAAGGCCGCAAAACTGTTTAGCCAGCTGATATTATGTCGGGGGCAGATCTCGCTTGTGAATGCAGCAACCCAGGCGGCCTTCATGAATGAAAGCTCATTTGTGATGTAGATTTGTTGCGGTAGGCTCAAAGCACAAGTTATTCCCAAATATAATGATAACGCTGGAAAACTGAAATATTATCGAAAGCTCAATGCGTGTCACACCTTCTGCGTAGGGAAGCATTCTCTTCCGTTTCCAGTATTCTGCAATACTGGAAACGGAAGAAAATGCTTCCCTAAAATCCCGTTACAGCGATCGACCAAATCCAGTTGTATCTTCATTCAACTCTCACTCGAAATGGTTTTAAAAGTTCAATTTGGATCAATACGTTATCTAATCCAGCGCCAATGCCCATGGACATATCCACAGCTCAAATAGCTTTAATTACCTTTACTGCATCAATCATCGCAGGAACACAGCAGAGCAGTAGCTCACCAACATTCAAATTATGCAAACTTGGCGGATTGACAATTTCCTGTCTCGACACGTATTTAAACATTGCACGCACGAGTTCACAGGCCTCCTTGGACTCTATTGCTCTGGACGTGAGCGTGGGTTTCGACATCTTCTTCTTTGCTTGGCTTATCTTTTTCGCTGGCTTCTTCTCGGGGTTGACCTTCGTCTTTTCCGCACGACAGGCAACCATCATCTTCTTTGCAGCTGCAATATATGCTGCAATCTTGTCCTGCGTTGAAGGGCGCGACAGAAGATGCCGCGCCGGAGTAGAAGTCGTCGCCCTCACCGTCTTCATATGTGTGGTCTGCACGTCCGCATACGCGTGTTCCCCCTCCTCCCTGGTGTTCACAATACCTCTGTCGCCAAAATAGGCGTCAGTCTCACGCTCCCTGTACAAATAAGCCTTATGCTAGGCTACCGTGAGGTGCCGGGCCTCCCCACGTTTGCATCCGAGCCGCGCAAAAATGCTTCCGACTCGCTGCGTGTTTCGCGAGAAGCAACCATCTTCTACCTCTCGGCTTTGTGTTAGCTAAAATCGAAACGAATGAGTGGCCGGAGGCTGGTCACAGCTGCGACAAATATGTGAACAGTTCTTGTGAAGAGTGCAGGGTCTTTGTGCTAGAATTTTGCCTAACCCTGTGCATTTCACATTCTTTAACCAGTCGTATAATACAGTGTTGGCAATAACGACGTTGCAACAGGTGAAGCAACGTGATTTACTTTTTACCACCCGTGGTAACGTTTTTACGCGTTTTTACACGTTTTTACGGATCTCGAACACAAGACAGAATCCTTCATCAGTTTATTTTGTGTTAGCGCGTCATGACGTCCCACGACAAGGAGCTGGCGCGTCTCCGGACGTGTAGTGGCAAGCTCATTTTGCTGGCTGGAATCTTGGGTGACGCCGCTGTAGCTCTGGCTCAGTGGCAATTCATGGCCAGGTGAATACGAATCACAAAGCCCGCTGCCCCCCCATCAAAGAAGAAAGAGGGTGTCTCCCAAACCCGGTTTGGGGAATGACCTTTGCAAGGCCGCAAAAGTACGAGGACGCTCTGCGCGTGAGCTTTATTTAAGACGTACCCTGACTGCTGAAGGCCGTACGAGATCGGTGTGAAGAGCCTCAATCTTAGTAACAGCCACCGCACTCGTGTGGCCATCGCTTGTGCGGTGTATCAGGACGTCGGCATTTATCTGCTGGAAGCCGTTCTGTCTGCAGTGGACAGCCATGTGGGCACCAACATCTTCAGGCGTGCTTAAAGGAGTCGCTGAAGGGCAAGCTGGTGCTGCTAGTGGCGCACTCGCTGAGCTTCGTGAGCCATTGCGACCAGGTAGCTGTGATTGCTGACGAAACAATCATCGAGCAAAGATCGTTCAAGAAGCTGATGATGGTGTCGAATAGTGAGAATGAAGAAGACAAGGAGGACATGACGTCAGCAGGGTGTTTAGAGAATAACTTGGCGCTTTCGAGTGATGAGCGATGAATTCCAATGATTCAAATGCTACATATACTTGGTAGCCAACGTTGGCAGCTTGTATTGAAAAAACTTATAAGAGCGCTCTTTACAACTTGGCACAGTTTACCTATATCTACGCGAGAGGAAGCTTTAGCGTCCAGTCAGCTTTTACGGCGATGCTGCTACAGCAGGCAGCTCCACCCAGCTTGAAAACAGCGTTTCTAGCGTAACCTGTTGAGCTCTCAAACCCGTCAAGAGCTTTCCCTGCGGATACGATGGAATACTTCATCCGGAAGCTCTTGGCTTCGGTTAGCTACAGGAACTGGCTCCAGCTCTGGGTCGTAAACATACCATTCATCGTCACCGACGTTATTCACAATATTTTCTCCATCGTCTTCTAGATCGACGATGGCGTCCAACCAGAAGTCCACTGCTCCAACAGTCTCCATGTAGTCGACATCAGTAACGTCAGCCAGAGTGGACAGCAAGGTTGCAGGATCGGAAACTCCGTGCATCTGCTGTTTTGGTCTCTCTGCAGGGTTAACAGGCTTCTTCTGTCTTCTACACTCGCCGATATCACTTTCCCGACGATTGCGCTCGCGGACCTCATTTCGAATGATGCCGATGAGTCGAGCTTTATCAAACTTTAGCTAATTTCGCCGTGGTGTCTGTATCAATCCCAGCTCGCTAAAGTAGCGCTCGCATGTCGCAGTGTTCACTGCGACTGACAGAATCACTTTCGCTAGCTGAGGAAGTTTACTGCCCTTGACGTACCACGAATCTGTAACGTGGACCCAATAATCAATTACCCCATTCGGTTGAAGGACACCGGCCTGGTCAGTGAAGTCAGTGTGCTTTTTCGGGGTAAATTTGCCACGCAACCACTTGTCGACATCACCTACGAGTCCGTTGCTGTTGAGATCAACATAGCGGCGATAGTAATAGTCAGCAGCAGCGGAGACGCCGTCTACTGACATTAAAATGACAGTATTGTCGTGAGCTTGGATTAAGGCACGCGTATGGGTCACGTAGAGCGGGTGCAATGCGAAAGCGAGAAGCATCAGCGGTTGCTCACAGTTCGCCCATCGCTTCTCCACCACTGGGACTAGATGAGAAGCGTATGCACTGGCAACAAAGGCAGCATGTATTTTTCCAAAGCACCGCACGACGTCCGCCATTGTGTTGTCATCTTTTTGTAGTCGATAGGATGCTTCCTACAGCGGCCGGATGACACGCTCAGCATCGATTAAGTTTCTCCAGAACAGCGGGTCGCGAAATACATGTAGCGTTGTAGGGAATTTAACATCATATCGATATCCGTGGGCCAGATCTTCTAACGCCGATCTAACGCGAAGCAGGCTTGCAGAGCATGCCTGCATGCTATTCCAGCGGGTCTCACACAGCATAATAAAAGCCAAGGTTTCCCCATACATTACATAAACGCGCTCGTTTGCACGCACGAGCCACTTTGCCGATGAACTGTTTAAACTTGCCATCGCAGAAGCTGCCTGCTTCGTTACTGTCTTAAACATTGTCTTCAAAACGGCTTTAACCAAGTTGTTCACGTCATGAGCGAAGCACCGTAAAAACACAATATTTGGACATCTTAAGGCCAGTATTCGTCTGGCCCTTGCGCATTGACCCGCATCGTCAGTAACGACGGCACCAATAATTCATTCGTATAACAACGCTCTCATAAGTGATCCCTCCATCTGCTTACTATGGCGAAGTCATGGTGAGCTAAGTCGACGGGTAGTAACTCAAACTGGTCAACAATGCCTCTGTATGAACTACATTACGTAAGAGCACGGCAGCGTCAAAACGTAGCATCAATGCAAACAACTTCTGTATGTAAGAGCGCCAGTATGCCCAGCTCTGAGCGCAGAC